TGCCATGCATCAACTCAAACTCACTCCTGAGGTCAGATCTGTTCCATACATTCATAGATCTGGCCTCCCCAAGCATGATAATCACGTAAAGTCCAAACCTTGGGGCTCAAACAAAACTATTTGCTCATAAATGATGTTTTAGCCCCATATCTCATAACTCTAGGCCAATACTCTCATGAACCCTCATAAAGCTTAAGGAATACAGCTCTTCTGGACCTCTATGGATCTCATCTCAAGCCTTATCATGAATAGGGACGAAATGGACATCAAATCTAACCAACAAAGGGGTCAAGAAACCCTAAACCTCCATGTTCATCATAAAAACGAAAAAGGAAGCCAAGATATACCTCCAAGATGATGCTCTGAGCTCGAAAATCACAGAATGTCCACTTCCCTTGCCTTCTCTTAGCTAGAATATCCTTTGCCTTGCAAAACCAAGCTTCAAAGGTCAATAATGGCCTCTTTTCTCTCCCAAAACGCTCAAATCTCTTTAGGGTTTCTCTCTAGGGTTTGGTGGCCGCAAATGACGGCCATAAGCCCCTTTAAATAGGTCTTAAACCCTGTAAATTAGGGTTTCATTAAACAGCATGGACTCGCCGAGTCCAGACGCGAACCCGTGTCCAAAATCGCGATCCTACTCGGCGAGTTTGAGCTCCAACTTGCCGAGTCCACTCACAATTCTCCAAAATACACTAATAATAAATACCTGGAAATTCCAGGCTGTTACACATCCTGAATCCTCCAAGTCACCTTCTCAAAATGATACTCCAAGCACTCGCTACAACAACACGACTAAACCCACTGAAGCACTTCCTAGGCTTCCCTAGTTTTCTGACCTCACTCTGCGATAAGTTGCTGAAGAACTCCCCATAATGTCAATTAACCACCTCATGAATACAATCACATACAACAAAGATTAGATAATCCAATAAGTAAAAGACTCATCCCTACAATGGTTAGACTCAAACAAGAGCTGTGCAATAGGGTCAAATCCATCACTCTGAGACTATTCAACCTTTGTCACATGTGACTTAACATATTCACTTAATAGCTAACTCACACACTTAAGAGTTCAACAAAGCACCAAGAAAGCAGCATTCATGCAGTAGCACTCCAATCTATAGAATAACTAAAGAACATTCAAACTCACATACTACAACTCATGTTGGGAACTTCCACTCTCACTGTCGGTTGCCTTATGCATGCAAATTATACACAATATAGGATCAAAGAGAATATCAAATAAAAGACTCTACCCTAGGACCACAACCAAATGAGGAAGAAGAACTAAGGACAAATAAATCATTGTAGGTCTATATGATCCTAATTATATACAAATTTTAAAGCATACACTTATCAGTTACTGATACCAATAGATATTCCCAATCTTGCATAGCATCCAATGCTTCCAAGGCTACAAAGCGTCACAAAAAAGGCCAATCTATCATGCAATTCTTGAAAGTATCTCTAGCCTCATCCTAGCATGCAATTCTCATAACATATAATCATATCAAGCATTTATGGGTATTCTGGAAATCACTTACTTGAGCTTGGTTGATTGCACGCATCACACCCCTTTTGTCTTTATAAAATCCTTTTAGAAATTTATTCCTTTTTTATCAAAAATCTTTTTAGAAACTCAGTTTCTTTCAAAAGATTTACAATTCCTCAGTTTGGGTTCAGACATACCCGAGAGTGTGCCTGAATCCCTCAAACCAAGGCTATGATACAGACTTGTAACATCCTATAAATTATGAGGTAAAAATTTCATTTTAATTTAACCAAGACATTAATTATCTTTAAGCCAAACATTCACCATCCTTTTTCTAAATATTCAAAAGTACTTTATAGGAAAACAGTTATCAAAGTACAGTCCCAAAATCATCATAATGAGGAAACATGGGTGGATGCGTAGCGATCAAATCGATCCCTTCCCTTCTGAACAAGAAGTAACAGAAACCATAACCACAAAAACCATAACCACAAAGCTTATTGAGTTTCCCAAATACCATGTACACAAAACATACAAGTGCCATGGGCTACCCCCATGGTCTTTTCTCGCAATGCCGAGGGCTAAATCCCGGTCTTACATATATGAGTGCCATGGGCTACCCCCATGGTCTTTCCTTGCAATGTTGAGGGCCAAATCCTAGTCTTACACACATGTTCCATGGGATATCCCCATGGTCTTTCATATAATTATCACAAAGACAACAAGAATTCCACATAATAAGAGATGGGTCGGCACTGTGCCTTCGACCCATGGATATGGTGAGAAAACTCACCTCCAGCTGCTGAAACACTCGGATAAATCTTTGGCTGCTAGTCCGACAATCCCTGCGCTATCAATATCAATAGCATCCAATTAAAAATTGGATTCCAATATGTAACCATCAATCTAAACTAGGATAAAAGACCATTTTACCCTTTACCTAATTTGAGCCGAGTCCAAGGCCCAAACCAACTACACAAAAAGTGCCAATTCTAAAATGGTCACCCAAAGCCCAATTATGGCCTAATTATCAAAATTGGGTTCAAGTCCCTTCGTTGACCTTCATCCAAAAGAACCCACTATAAAAGCATCAGCCAAAAAATAGAAACCTAATGGCCCAACAAGACCATAATCTCCTAAGGCCAAAATATGGGCCCAAAACTATGAAGCCCAAAACCAAAGCCCACCTGATAAGCACGTTGGGCGTACTTAGCTTGTACGCTTAGCATACACCCTCTGGGGCTAGTACGCGCAACGTACCAGCTTGGTATAGCCAACAGACTCCTCAGTTGGCCACCCCACTTCATTAAGCACTTAATCCATTGAGACTTCAATCCAAACTCTCAGATCTGATTTTATAAGACCACTTATCACGTAAAGTTGGCATCTTTACACACATGCATGGCTTAATGGGGGCTTAACAGATCAAAAAGAGCTAAACAAAAGGTCTTAAAACATGCATGGTTCAAGATACACCATAAAGCTTGAATTTTTATGAACAAGGGGACCAAAAGAAGTCTAGATCTAACACTAATACTTCTAGAGTGAGCCAAGAAGCTCATCAATCACTCCAAGGACTCAAAATGCATAAAATAACAACATAACTAGATATAGCATCATGGATCATCAAGATGTGAGCTTTTTACCTCAAAAAGCTTGCAAATGATGAGCTAACCCCAGATCTTTAAGCTCAAGACACTTCTCCAAATGCTCTTCTTCTTCTTCTTCTTCTCCTTCACAAGTCACCAACACTCTTTAAGGCTCAAAAGTCACAAAGACACACACTAGGGTTTCGATTTCTGAACAAAAGAAGGTTAAGGCTAGCTAAACATAACCAAATGAGGCTATCATAAGGTTTAAATAGGGTGAAAACATTAAAAATTAGAGTTTCACTCAAGCTCTCGTACGCCATGCGTACTCCACGTATGCCCTGTGTACGTGGTCAAGGTCCGCGATCACAAAGAGAGTCAATACGCCCAATGTACTCCAACTTTTTTGAAGTTGGCTATTCTGCCCCCTAGGAACCAAATTCTGCAAAGCATTAACACACCAAGGGCCCAGAATGAAAAAAATACTTTGAATTGGGTGTTACATTCAAGGTTAGGTAAGTTGTACTTTGTGCTTCATTGGACCATACACAGGGTGTACAAGTTTGGTACGCAGGGCGCACGCTGCATGGGTTTTTCTTGATTTTGGGCCAATTTTTGGACTCTAGGGTTTTTGGCTTTTGTTGGGCCACAAGTATTGCTAAGTTAGGTTATTGTCAGACTTTGCGACTTTATGGAATTTGGCATGTATTGGGCCTTGAGTGTCTTGTGGATTTGGGTCAATTGAGGGGGAAGGTTAAAATAGTCTTTTACCCTAGGAGTTGGGATGAGTGAGTTAAGTCCCAATTATGGTTATGACCTGATTATTGATTAAGGTTGTAATTGTTTGGTTAGCGCGCGGATTCTCCGGTCCAGTAGCCCAAGCATCAGTTGGTTTGTTTGCGGACTAAGGTGAGTCTCCTTACGAGATCCATGGGTCGAAGGCACCAATGCCGGCTTTGTTTTGTAAAATGTTAGTTGTTTGTGTGACAATTGTATGAAAGACCAAGATCTGGCCCCTGACAATTGTATGAAAGACCAGGATCTGGCCTCTAGCAATTGTATAAAAGACTAGGATCTAACCCCTAACACTTGTATGTAAGACCGGGATTTGTCCCTCGACATTGCAAGGAAAGACCATGATTTGGCCCATGGCAGGAAATGATTGTAAGACTATGATTTTGGGGAACTCACTATTTTTACTCTGATATACTTTGGATTTGTTGAGTTGATTAAATGGTGTTTATGGTTGAATTAAAAATAAAAATTTTACCTTATAATTTTTGGGACGTTACAAGTGGGGGATAACATTTAGGGTCTTTCATGTTTTTAAGATTTGATTTAATGACTTTTTCATAAAAAAAAATATATTTGAGTTAATGATTGGGTTTTATATATTTTTTATAGAGTTAATGATTGCCACTCCTTACCTGTTCTATGTTCCACTATTGATGGACTATTACCGGATCGGCCCCAAAAAAATCAAACTGTTTCAGACCAACCGAGACCGGTCCGAAACCGCCAATGTGGATCATTAATCTCAACTAGTATTTCCGCATAGTCAATTGACACAAAACTCAACACCGATTATTACACCCCAAATAATTATTGTTTCTTTACATTTGGGTTTATCATTTTCCAACATCGAATCAAGATTAATAAAGAAACAAACTTACAAAAAATTGTCATTATCGAGCTATTACTTTAATGAAAAAACCACATTGTTGAAGGTGAAATTCACACTGATTCTAGTTTTAGCTCCCCAAGTTCTACATCGAACATTCAAACTCCAAGTTGAAGATTTGAAACGTGTAGAATCATATTACTCAGAAAAACAGAAAACCAAGAAATAAAGAGACCTCAAAAACATCTAAAAATCAAAACCCAAAACTCACCAACAGTATTCATTATTGATGTAAAATGGTTTGTATTGCATATTTTACAACAATGAATGATGAAATAGAGCAAAAAAAAAAAACAAGAAAATACAAATCAATCAACTCTATCATTGAACATAAAGATCATTCCAACATCTATCAATAGCAGCTCGAATCCTCTTCGGTTTACAAACATCTTGAACAACAATTTCCCATGTCGATTCTTTTGGCATAAAATATTTTCCAATCATCACCTCAATAATCTTTGTGGCCCCCACAACCCGTTTTCTCTTATGAAGCCTAACCACAAGTTCTTCAAGAAACTCACTCCCATCTTCGACATCATCCATCCCATCTTTTATCATTTTCAAGAATATATTACAAGTAACCAAATCCGGATCACACCCTTGATCAATCATACAATTTAGCAAATCAATAGCACGTGAAACAAAACCATTCTTACACAAACAATCAAAAAGAATGTTGTAAGTCACTACATCTGGTTGAATCCCAGAACCTTCACAAATCATCTCATTAAAAAGTTTCAAACTTTCTTCAAGAAACCCATTGTTACATAGCCCATGAATCAGAGAAGTGTAAAGAACAACATCAAGTTTATACCCTTTTGACAACATATTCTCCCAAAATGTTGTAGCTTCTTTCACCTTCCCATTGTTACATAGTCCATGAATGATTACACTATAACAAACCTCATTTTGACCACAGTTTTGACTTTCAGCTTCTTTCCATATCTCAAGAGCTTTATCAGTGTCACCTTTTTTGAAAAAACCCTTCATCAGGGAGCTGTATATGAATGCATTCGCCTCACAACCTATCTTTTTCATTTCGTCAAGAACATCCATAGCTTCATCTGGTTTCATTTCTCTACATAAACCATCTATCAGAGTACTGTAGACCACAGTATTCGGTTTGCACCCTTTACTAATCATCTGTTTCCATAAATTCATCGCCTTTTCGGGTTTCCCCTCTTTGAATAAACCACTTATAAGTGTTGAATAAACATAATGATTTGCAGGAAGTCCTCTTTCTTCAAGAGAGATTGACATAGATGCAGCATCACTAGCTCTTCCTTGCTTCACTAACCCATTGATGATTGTAGAGTATGTAATATCATTAGGGACACATTTAGCCTTAACCATTCTGTCCAAAAGATTAACAGCTTTGTCTAATTTACCCTTTAGGCAGAGACCATGTATAAGGGTGTTGTAAGTTACTTCATTTGGGACACACCCTTTGAGAAACATGTTATCTACAACCTTAGAAGCACGTGATAAGTCACCTTTCTTGCACAAACCATTAATCAAGACATTGAAGGTTGCAGCATTTGGGAAGCAACCTTCGACTTGCATTTCATCCAAGAGACAAACAGCTTCGTTGATTCTATCTTCTTTGCATAATCCATCCATTAAAGTGCAATATGTAAACACATCTGGGGTGCATTTTTTAAGTGGCATCTCTCTGAAGGTCTGGATAGCTCTGTCAATGAGGTCTAATCTACATAAGACTTTAAGGATTAGATTGTATGTTAGCACGTTTGGTGAAATCCGTTTCTCGTGAAGAACAATGGAAGAATAAAACTCTAGAGCTTTATTGAACATACCCTCTTGTATGACTACATTAATCACTGAGTTAAATGATCGAACACTTGGTCTGCATTGGTACTCGACCCACATTTTATCAAACAAGTCTAGGGCTTTCATCGGTTTTTTTGCTTTCCCGTAAGCTTTGAATACTAATATAAAATTTCTCTCTATAAACACTCTTCTTTCACGCTTCATTTGGCTAAAAACCTTCTCCAACGATATGAAGTCTCCTGTTTTTGCGAAGTTCTCAATGAGGGTGTAAAATGTCGAATCACCCACTCTAAAGGAACCCAATTTCTGACCGGATTTGAAAATGTCTTCATGAATTGGCGGTTCAATCGCTGACTCCTGCTCGTTTTCGGGTGCTTTTCTTGGGTTGATAACTGAAAAGTGTCGAATTTGGGAGAACCCTTTTGAGCCCAGTCGTTTCCTGATTAAAGTAACGATAGTAACGCTGCTGGGCATGCCTTTATCAGCTGGGATTTTGAATAATTGTGCACGAAATACTGAGCATCTTCGTGCGAAACGAAATTTGATTCAACGCCTGATTGATTATGATCAGAGATACAAACGAACCGGAGTATGAAACGGAGAAACGAGAAGCAGCAAGGAATGGGCCTATGAACCGGGCTTATAGAAAGGGATTGTTTTAACTTTAAAGAGAAATTAAATATTATCTTCCTACACGTTTAAAACATACCATTTCACATATACCATTTCATATAAATATAAATATATTTATTTTTTCTTGTTTTAAAAAGTTACAAATACGACATGTTTTATTAAAATTTGTAATTTTGATATAAAATTTTAGTTTTATAAATATTGAGACATCATAAAATTTTGTTTGTTTAATAATTATTAATTGAATCAAATCTCATTGAATCAATATTTAATTGAATTTGATACAACCTCTTATCAGACCAAATAAGATGCATATCAAAGATTATAAGACCAAATCGGAGGATTTTAATAGTATTATCAAACAGTCTTAAAATCTAATCAAACTCAATCTCTTACTAAATCCACTAAAAAATATCAAATATAATTGTAATTTACATATACAAGAGATATAATTCCGATCAAGTTTTTTTAGATGGTTTATGTATTGTTAACGATCAAAACAACTTGATTTTTAACATCAAAGCGAAGCATCAATTTTTATATTTCTTTTATTAACAATTATAATTTTCTATTTACAAAAATACATGGGTTGTGCGAATTGAGGGAAGAGGCAAACAAAATATTAGGAGAAAAGTATAATTTTTATTAATATTTAACCAAAATTATGCATCCGGAATTATGTTTGTCTCTTAAAGTGATCTTGTTTTAATTTGTAACTTGGAAATGTGTTGTAACTTGTAAGTTATCATCTATGTTATTGATTTTGGTTTCTTTGAAAATTATAAAATTGGAATAAATAGATTTGTATATAATTGGAATCATCTTTTTTTGACATCAAATTTAATAAAAATAGAAAAAGAGATAGGGCTATTAAAAGAGAAAGGGTGCTACTAAATAAACACACACCGTATTCTTAAAGTTAAATTATTTTTCTAAAAAGAAAAAACACCCTCGTTAAGAGTTATATTTTGAAAACTGTGTATAAATTCTTGAAGACTGTAACATAAAAGACTATGTAAAATCCTGACATTTTATTGTAAAGTGTATATAATGAATCAAATTAATATTAATCTAACTAATAACAACTTATATTTTATTATAATAAAAGTGAGTAACATTAATCTAATCATCGAATGCAATTTAGGTAAATTTTTTACCAGTCGTGTGTCCGCCGAAGGAAACTCCTATTTAGGCCAACCGAAACACAAGCAAGGGAGGCCATTATCCGCGCCCAACACCGGAAAGAATTGATAGGCCAAGCGAGAGCTCAGGAGAGACAATCATTCAATGGTTACACGAAGTCCCAGTTAAGGTGAATTGTTTTATTTGGAAGAAAAATATTGATCGTCTCCCAACTGCGTCTAACCTACAAAAAAGGGATTTCAATATTATCTCCCACATTTGTTCTTATTTTGAATGTGAGGTGGAGTCTATAGATCATGTTCTAATTCGATGTCCTTTGGCAGCCAAAGTGTGGAAATGGATTTTCAGATGGTGTGATGTTCCCTTGCCTGATTTTGAAAGTATCGAAGATATGGTGAACTTTAGCTCTAACCAGTAACCTGTGCAAATAGAAGGAAAAGTGTAAATAGCATCTGCTATAGGGCAATTTGGCTTTTATTTGGAAGGCGAGGTGTGATTGGGTTTTCAATAAAACTCGGACTACTCCAATGAAAATAGTCGATAATGTCAAATCTAGTATTTTTGTGGTTCAAACATCAGAGATTAAGATGTTCTTTTAATGGGATTGAATGGTGTGTCGATCCATTTCTTTGTTTGTAAACTCTCCTGTCTTTTCCTTTCCTTTTGTACTCTGGCCCTCCTAGTTAGTATCTTGCTTGGAGTGGTCTTTTTATTAATATATTTGTCGGTTAAAAAAAGTCAATTTTCTAATTAAAGTTATTATTTCAGGTTGTCATAATTAACTCAGTCCAATCAACGCCATCGACGCCGATGGCAAGCAGTACCGTCGCAGGAGGCGTTGTCTTGGTCAACATCGCGAGAAAAGATGGACATAAAGAGTAACAAAGACAGATTGAGAGCGATATATATATATATATATATATATATATATATAGGGGATAGGGAGTATACATTACAACCCCACCTAAGCTTAGGTACAAAACCACTAAAATATGTCGTTTTAACTTAGCAAATATACCCGATTTGGTTTTCACTTGGTAAATATACATCCCTGATAACATTTTCTTCCTCCATTATCATTTTACCATGCTTGTTTTCTTTCCTCAATTATTGTTAATTACTTCACTCCAGTAAACATTACTTTTTTCCACTATTAATAAGATCGAAGATAATCAATATTCTTGCTTCCTTATCAAAACTATTTCGTCTATCTTGAATCTACATCATCAAGTGTTAATTGTGAATCCCTTAACCACAATCTTTATATAGTAAAACAATGTATTTTTATGACGTTTAGTACCTAAGCTTAGGTGGGGCTGTAATGTATATTCACTTTTCCCATATATATATATATATATATATATATATATATATATATATATATATATATATATATATATATATATATATATATATATATATATATATATATATATATATATATATATATATACACACACACATATAATATTAATCTTAATTAACTAAAAAGAAACAATTAATCATTTATACTATATTCAATAATAAAAATTAAATATCCTCCTATATTTTATTCATACCATATTAAATAATGACATGTATCATATTTAATGATATTGATAATATTTTAATCAATATATCAACAACATTTGATATGATAGAAAGATAACTAGCAAGTCAATATTCTCATATACTAGCAACACAACATATATTAAAAAAACACCCTTAATGATTAGAAAACACATTTTTAATCAAATGTCGTTATTTTTATATTTTTTATAGTAGTAGTTAAGTAATGATTATTTACTTTGCCTTTAATTATTAAATGAAGAGAAAATTACAAATTTATCCTAATACCCTAATTACTTTGTGGAAAATAGTAATAAAAAAAGGAAACTGCAAAATTAGCCACTGAATCGCAGATGGACTATGTTTATCTGCGATTTCCTCTGACTACCATCTGCGATTTTTGGTATTTTAAAAAAAAATTGATAAGTTTGACTACGAAATTGATAGGATTTGACTACATAACAACCTTAGTATATATGAACTTTTTCCAGAAAATTTCATTTTTGTTAATATTTTTTTTGGAAAATTTGTTGAAAACCTCTCTAAAAAAATGTATGAATATTTGAATTGCATTGTAACTGGTGAGAGATGTAAAGTTTGTGAAACAAATCTTAAATATGTAGGGAGGTATTTCTGAATTTGCTTTGATATTTTCTTAGTATATTACTTATAGTGAGTTTGTATCTTTGGTGAGAATGAAAACCGGTTTGTTAGACGAATGTAAAATTAGTCTTCGTTTTCGTCATCCTGAATTGAATCATTATATAGTCATGGTTGAAGACATGTATGTTAGAATGTTGATCAATGTAATCAAATGTAGTGGATGAAGGGTTGTGAAAGTGTTTGTGGCGGTCGATGATGGTGATGCGGTTACGAAGGGTGGTCAGAGTGGAAATGAGCTGGTTGGTAATTTATACAGTGATAAAGGGAGCAACAATCCAATATGTACTTTCATGACTCCTAGTGTACCTAAATTTCATAGTGTTGCTGAAAATGTTAATGTGACGTATTCACTTATTCACTATGTGGATCCTGAGAATTACAAGTATGTTGGTGATGATGATGTTGGTACATATCTTAATGACGTGGGTGGTCGTTGTGTTGATGTTCCTGAACAAGAAGTTAAAGTTAGCCAGTAAAAATGACTTAATAGGTTAATATATTTTTCACTTTGTACACATTTAGTCCTTAATATTTTTGTAAAGATTCAGTCCTTAATATTTTTTTTGTTTCACAATAAGTCATTTTTGTTTTTGTACTCATTCAGTACTTATGAATGATTTCTTTAGATTATTCTCACGACATCTTACGTTGGACAATCATTAATGAGGTGTTTAGGGCTTTTGAAACTTATGTCCATCGCGATCTCAACTACTTGGTTGCTTAGGCATGTGTTATGAACGTCATAACTTCTTCATACGATCTTATATTTTAACGATCTTTATATCTATTCGTTCGTAGTTTAGTCTAATACAAATTTCGTTTAGATTACTCCCGTTAATATATTTTTACCTAAGATCTTTATATCCATACATTTTTTATGAATGCATGGATGGATGTTTTTTTTTATAAAATCCGAAGTAAAAATATATTACATTTTAATGAGAGGAATCTTAACAAAAGTTGTAGTAGACTCAAAAAACAAACATGTGGATATAAAGATCATTAAAATCTGATATCATATGAAAAAGTTATGACGTTCAAAACGTAAGACATCAGTCAAACCATAAGACTTATGCAACCAAGTTGTCGAGATCGTGATGGACATGAGCATCACCAGCCCCAAACACCTCATCAATAATTGTCCCACATAAGATGTCGTGAGAAAAACCTAAAAAAATCATTCATAACTACTGAATGAGTACAAAAACAAAAAAGACTTATTTTGAAACAAAAAAATATTAATGACTAAATGTGTACAAAAATATTAATGACTAAATGTATACAAATTGAGAAATATATTACCTTATTAAGTCAATTTTCCCGGTTAACCTGGAGTAATCGATCATAAGGACTGAATGTGTACAGTTTAACAAGTTGAAAGGGTAATGTGGACGAAAAAAAACTCAGTAACCAGTGGCGGACACAGAACAGTTTCGTAGGGGTGGCACTAATTTTTTTTTTCAAATTAATCAATATTAGTAGTGTCACTCGTGTTTTAAGTCGGTGCACCTAATTGAAAAAACATTTAAAAAAAAATACACTACGTGCCGGCGTCGGCGTAGTGATCTGGGACCCCTAGGGCACAACTAAGATCTGCCACTGTCAGTAACTAAATGTGTACAAATTAAAAAATATATTACTTTTTTAATAACCCACAACACTATGTATGTC